TAATTTCCCCATTTTCTATATAAATTAATAGTCAGGTTAATTGGGTTTTTGGTGAAATTTGAATTAATATGCAAATTCTTCAAGTCAGGTACCTCTATTAATGGGGGACTCGAGGATGGAAAGTGTAGGGTTGCCCGATTTGAAGAATTTCAGTTGCATCGGGCTTGAGTTAGGGTTCGGGTCCATTGAAAATTAGACAAATTCCCATTCCAACTCAACCTGGCCCAAATCTCACCTTAGTGCATGACTGCATGTGATGCCAACTTGCCTTGCCATAAAGAGCCTGTAGTTTGGCAGGTTGAGCTAGCACAGAGTACTCCTTTGCGACCCCCAATGAAACACAAACAGGTGAGTGATGGAGATAAATTCAAAACATAACTCTTATTACTTTTTAATTTCCACTTCATTGGAGGGTCACAAGGGAGTACTGACTTACTGCAACTATGAATATAGCTATCTCAACTACTGCGTCATTGGTAGATAAGAATAGAGGTTCATTAAGAATCTATTTATCTGATCAAAATCTTATTCAATTAAGCAAGCATCCCCGAGTTTAAATCTTAAGTGGTCTCTTAGCACTTCTCCCCGTGCATATATACTCTTTCAACCCTAACCCCCGATAGGAGTTGGCATTAGGCATTTTCAATTTCTATTGTTTGTTTCAATGGGAAGGGGAAATTTTTTTTAATACCAAAATATTTTAGTTGTTGACTCCATAATTTAATGGAAAAAATGGTTTCTGAAGTGCTTTTTTTTTATTTTTTTTACGGTGTTTGTTTGGAGATGGAAAACAAGCACTCTCCAAAAAGTGGGCTCTTGGGAGAACAGCATTCTTTCTAACTACCATTAGTATTTTGTAGGGGCCATTACTTGATACAACAGTAAAACAAACCTTGGGCTCGCAAGCATGAAAATGTTGGTTCGTGTTTAATTGCAGCCAATTTGGAATAATCTATTCCCCCGTTTGTTTGGTTTATACGGGAATCAGAATAAGATTCCAACCGGAAGCTAAAATTGGAATCACTCAAAATTTCTTGCTCGCCCCTATTCACAGTGGCAATCATCGAATCCTGCCTTCACCCGAATTGTGGAGGGCTACCAACCTACCAATGAAAATGAAAAAGAAAAAGCTTGAACCTTGGTGAGTGTTGGCCGTATCAACAAACATATCATCAGCTTCCTGTTTCTATAATCCTTGAAATAAGAGGCCAGTGGATCCCCGAAGATTTGAAATCCTACAAGTTTAGAGTGTAAATCCATACCAGTTTTTATTGGGGTCCAAGTAGACAGACCCGACCCGATAATGAAATGTGCAGAACCAGTATTCCAAAAGTTAACTGAGACCTATTGTGGATCTTCTTCTCACAGAGCACGCTTCACATCAATTTTACAGTATGTCTTGACTGGACATGGAAAACGTCTCTCATACTTGTATTTATTATTCACGGGGAAATATTCCCAATATAGTATGGAATGTAATGTGAAATATGCTTTATGAGAAGCAAATCCCAATTTATTGGATCTAACTCTAAACCAATAAAACCTGATTATAATTGACATATAATCTGACACAAACCTACTTGTTTTTAAAATTGATACCCATCATAATATGATAATATTATATTATAAGAAAATAGAAATAAAGTTGGAGATATCTTTATAATATGCTAATAAATATATACATATAATTATATATAAGGGTAGTTTAAGTTTAAGAAGTTTAAACTGATTCATCACGTATATACGAGTTTAGTGAATTAACTAAACCATAAGGGTGTTTAAGAAATTTACCCTGGATTTAAATTCAAACCCATATCTATCTTCTTCAGAAGCCAGAACCACGGATAGAGTGAACAGTAAAACACATTTAAATAAAGCGAATCACCTTTTTGAGGCATATTTATTTGAATAGGCTTTTGTGAAAGGGTCAAAAATAGAGGAAATTGGAAAACATAGTATGGGTTGAAACAACTTTTTCTAAGGGATGTTTGATAGCAGCTGAATTGGTTGAAACAATTTGCTTTTATCTTTTAGCGAATTAAGTTTTCAAGGTTGTCAAGGTTGTGGTCTCCTTATTAATGGCTGAAGCGGGTACGTTACTCAAAAGACAAAGCAACAAGTCATTTGAAAGTGGGTAGAAACTATATTACTATAGCCTCCTACCTCAGTTCTCTCTCGTAAAGTCGGGTCTCATCATCTCTGTTCTCTTTCATATAAGGGAGAAACCCAACCATTGACTGTAACGAAAGAATAGATTATTCTCCTCTCAAACACAAATAAATCCTCGGGTTGGGTGGGGGGCCTTGGGAGTTGGGGCTCGTTTTCGTCAGTCGTCACATAGGGCATCACCCAACTCGTGGGATCCCCGGGTTGGTCTTCGACCGCTCTTGATCCTGACCCGACCGGCCACCCATTGAAATTAAAGGCCCCAGGTTTCATAAATTTAACAGAGGATGAATTCGTAGTCGTAGGAAATGTCAAAGCTCAAAACTCAAAAAGGGTTAACAAATGTACGTAGGTAATACGCTCATTTCATCCTTAGAAGTTTGATAGAGATAAAGAGTACTAATCAAGCCTAGAATAGAATGTACTTTCTTTTTCAGGGCACAAAGAATTTACTTTCTAGTTTCTAGTTTCAAACAATTCATAGATGCTACTTAAATCATTTTTTTAATAGAGGGAGGTACTGAAAAAGATAGGTTAGATTAGAAACTAAGAGTTAAACCACCAAAGAAAGGTTATACCGAAAGCTTTCACAAAAGCAAAAAAGCAGCTTATAAACACAACAAACTCTTAACTCAAAAGCTCTCAACTTCTTTCATTTATTTCATTATTTCAACCTATTTCCAGCTTTGAAAACCTTGATGAGAATTCTGTGGGACAACTCTCAGTCCCACCCCTAAAAGCCCAAAACCACATTCTCTCTCTCTCTCAACTCAACTCTGTCAAAACTACTAGCCCAAGTCATTCTTCCCCGCCATTCATAGACGGAATACAATTTATCCTATACTAAACAATAAACACCACCTCCAATGGTATACCATATCTTTCGTATACCAAAAAATACATCTTTGTAATGTAATCCTATTCCTCTCCTTTTTCCTTTTTCTTCATCTATACACAGTCACAAGGCTCAGAACCCTAGAAGTCGACTCGAACCAAAGAGTCTCAGAACCCTAGAAGTCGACTCGAACCAAAGAGTCCTCCCAGCTTCAAGTTCCAAATCCCCAAATAAACAAATTCAGAAACCAAAAAAAGGGACCCAGAAGGGTGAATTGACGAATTCATTCTCAGAACGCTAGACGGACCGTTTCGCCGGCCTAGCAATGGGGCCGGCCGGCGAGCGGAATCCCACCGTCACTGCATCGTATACGCACCAGTGGAATGGCACCTGCCTCCCCTTCGCATTCGAACACACCTCGCAGACTACTACGCCATTGCTCTTCGGCACGCGCTCTCTCGCCCCCTCGTATCCGTATCTATCCTCGTATTCTGGATACGGAATCGAGTACTGGTACGTATTCGCCGTGGACATCAAGTACTTCTCCCTCTGCGCCTGCAGCTTTCGTATCTGGTTCTCGTAATCCACGAGCCCTAATCCCAGTATTCCTCGTCCGCTGTACAGATACTCTGGCGGTGTAACTTGATCGTAGAACGGCGATACCAGGCCGGCGTCGCGCCGAAGGAGAATCTTTTCCGGAGGAGGTGCTTTCTCTTGCGCGGAATCGATCGGATGCGGAGACAAATAATTTTCCTCTTCAAGGATTCGGCGGGGCTTGCCTCTTCTCTCCCTCCTCGATCGCTTCATCAGCGTGACGTAAAAGAAGCAATCTTTCTCTCCAAGAATTGCAGAGAAATCTACCTTCTCGGTGACCGGAATTTTGCGGCGATTCCCAGGCGGTGACTTTGACGGTTTCCGTCGGATAAGCGAGACAGAGATCTGATTAGGCGAGATTCCGATTTTCTGACTCAGGAACGATTGGAATTTCTTGAACTCCATAGACGGGTGAACGTTGATGTTGCCGAGATCTATTTCGCGCTCCCCGTCGAAGAACACGACTGGAAACGAAACCACAGTGGAATTCTCCGTCATCCTTAATGGTTTCTCGGCGGAATTTCGTCTGTCCGGCGAAACTCCGGCGTCGAGAAGAGATAGCAATGTCAAATGGCAAAGGGGTTTGCGAATGATGGGCGAAAGGGGTTTTTAAACGAGGGGAGGGGGAACGGGGTTTAAGTGCGTCACGCACTGTGTGTGCGTGAAAGAAGAAAGTAATCATGGTAAGGCGGTGGGGGTATTTTTGGAAATAAACATTATTTTTTCCTGGTAAGCTGCGAAAGAAGATGGAGAGTTGCTGGTTCGAGGCTGAAGTGTCTTATCTGGAATTCTGGACGTCTTCTGATCCGTATCAGTGTAGCTTGGGCGTCAAGTCATCAGTTGGTCAATTAAATTTGACCAGATTCACGTGTTTTACTATATCAGGACACGATAACACCCTTAGATTTGGAATCTTTCTCGTCGATTTTTCTGTAGTAAATACTGTAAATGGTAATTCACATTTAATGCTCCTTTTTATCCGTCCGTCAAGTTCGGGCCTACCATCTATTTGGTCCCTTATACGATATTCCAATCCAAGGGTTCTTCTTCAGAGTCTATGCTGAACCCGGATGTAATAGACAACAGCCCTTTATTGTGTTTCAGCGTGCACGGAACCGCCACGGTAATAAGTGCATCGCCAACATAGAACGTGATGGGCCCACTCGGTGGATGGATTTTAGGCTACAACAACGCGTAGGTCGCCAATCATATGTCGGAAGCGCAAAAGGGGAAGATTTCTAACAACGGACTCGGAATGCTTTGGATTTTCCTTACTCCTAACTGCTCCTGTTCTATTAATGAAACTGACATCATCCCAGATTGGTAGCCCGCGATTCACTTGAGCATTTCAAGCGGATCGTCGGATCTTGAACGGTTAAAGCTAGAGAAGGGGTATCTTCGTCATTTCAAGTAGAAGAGAGTGGTTTCCTTGAAAGACTAGCGCGCAAAAGCAACTCCCCGCTTGGCTTTTTGGCTACGATGGTTGTTGCTTTGTGCCGATTCGTCTTTTTAAATTCTTCTTTCTATCGACATCCTCCCCCGGTTCTTCCAACGCCGGCTCTCTCTTTCCCATATTGCCCTCCAAAGTCGCAGAAATTCACTACCCTGCCCCTACTCCTGAGTCGTAGGCGGTTGAAGATCCTCTGCTGCACCTCCCCCTCTTCCTCACCGTCATCGTCGTCGTCGTCCATGGAAGCTCCTCCAGAAGGTTACAGAAGAAATGTGGGAATCTGCCTCATCAATTCTTCTAACAAGGTTCAGAGTTGTTTTGCTTCTTTTTTTTATCCCTAAGTTTTAATTTGCTTGTTTATTTATTGATTTCTTTTTTATTTAACATGCAGATCTTCACCGCTGCAAGGCTTGATATTCCGGGTGCTTGGCAAATGCCGCAGGTAATATCAAATTCCTAATCGCTTTTTCCCATTGATGAGTTTTCTCTTTCTATCTTTACCTCGGATTTTTTTTCAATTTCATTTTTCTTTCAATTGATCTGCCGGATTCAATGGAAAATTGAAAAAGAAAAAAACTGTCTTTGCAGTGTTTTTTTTTCTAGTACATTTTCTGTTATGTTGTTTCCTAAGCGGATTTTTTTTCACTGTTGTTCTCTTCTTATTTTCTTCTGAATTCCTTAATACCGTTCTTTCTTTGTCAGAAGGTGTATTGTCCTTTATGTGAGAAAAAATTAAATTCTAAATTTTGAAATTGCGTGTACAGGGTGGTGTTGACGAGGGTGAAGATCCAAGAAATGCAGCCATCAGAGAATTGAGAGAAGAAACCGGAGTTACTTCTGCAGAAGTTGTCGCAGAGGTTTGATTTTGATATTTGACTATCATTAGTTTATATGACGTCTTAAGTGATGGTTCTGTCACTCCTTGTTAAATTTATATAAAAGCGTTGCAAACAAGAAAGCATAAAAGCAATTGCTTCATTATTTGATCTATCAGATTTTTTTTGGCTTAAAACTTCGTTTTATCTCCTTTGTCATGTTTCTTCTCTCATTTGTTTCTGTGAAAATGAAATCAGTGCTTTTGATTTCTGAAACGTTTGATCAACATGTTGAAAGGTTCATTCTCACTCAGTCACTCAGATAGATTGCAAGGTTCTCTAACTCAACTTAGTAGTGGTCTCAAGGAATTGGGTATAATGGGGTAATGGGGGAGTAGATACACTGTGATAGACAGACAGTTATTTTATTGGTAATATTTTTTTATTTTCTTCTTATATGGTGTTATTTATTTCATGGAGGCAGCTATTCCCTACTTCCCTGCCTTGGAATTGCCAGTCCTTGTACTTTTTTTCTTCTCATTCTTTATATTCTACTGCCATTATGTGGATGGTTGGGAGACTTAAGTATGCAAATCCCCTCTTGAATGTTAATTAAGAGATTATCTTTTTCCTTTTGATGGCATCACATTTTGCTTGTGATGAATGTGGAGGACCTTGAGAATGTTGTGACTGCTGGATGAATTGGCAGATTTCAATCGTATATGTCCTTGCTATAAAGATTTGAAAAAACAGGAAAGAATAGCTCTAAAACTATGTGCAGATTCTATAACAAATTCTCTACCTCGTCCAGATTCTAGAATCCATATACAATCCTATTCTGGGATTTTGGTAGAGTGATTAGTATCCCAATAATCCAAAATTTTGGAACCCAAAGGATCCTTCAGTATTCTATATGTTAATATGTTAAACAAAAGATTTTCTTTTTTTTTTTTTTTTTGAAACTGTAATAAAAAAAAGTTTCCATTGCCATATTTTTGTTAAAGGTTTAATACATCATATGCCAAAGGATTAGGACACCATCAGTTCAAATTTAATAGAAGAAAGAGAAGTTATAATTGTAATGATTTTGATGAAACATAATTCTTATTTATTTATTTATTTGTTTGTTTATTTTTTACCGCAAAGTGTTCAATAAATGAAAGAGAGCTCAGAACATTTTAAAACTTAGGTTGCTAATGTATATCTTGGAGGGTGGCTTTATGAGGATGACAGTGGACTTCTATCAGTGTTTTATAGAAGGAGATCCCCAACTCATCACCCTAGTTCAGATGGTTTGAACTTTGACAGGATCAAGGAGGAATCAAATCGGCTAGCCCTCCATTTTGGCAAGAGGAGATTTTATTAAACAGGTATTGGGGTTACATTATCTCTCCCTTGAGGAGCTTTTATCAAAGGTAAGATCAATTTGATGGACATAGATCGGCAATGAACGCATCAATTCACATATTAAAGGGGGAGAAGACTGGGATTCATGTCTAAAGCTTACATGGAGAATGTATCTTACCATATTAAATGAATACTTCTTGAGTATGTATTTGGACAATGAGATTTAAAGAGGCAGGATACAATTGAACATTTTTGTAGTACCAATATTGAAGATCAATGGACTAGGAGAGTAGAAGGTGAGGTTTTTGGCAATGTAGAGATGGAAAATATGGATATAGAATGCTGTCTGTTATAGATTATAGAATTGAGAGAAAGAAAGGAGAGAGAGAGAGCAACAAACTGATGACATGTGTGTTGGCGTGATGCCTTGTATTAGAGTATTTCAAAAGGTATTACAATGACCAAACTACCCTTTCATATTATATACTTATTTTGGTGACATTCTTAGTAAAGACATCCAACGCAAGGTGCCAACCAGCTGGTCATAGTGGAGGCCTGGGTTAGGGGGGTTATTGGTTAGGGGATGGGCTACCCCCCCCAATTGTCAATTGTGTAGCCCTTCAGAAGATATTAGAAAAATAAAAGACATCCAACACATACCTTTTCATGAATGGAGTACTTATCCACTACACCAAGTCATAGATAAATGCAGCACAACCTTCTAATCAGGTGCTGAAACTGTTTTACATCAGTTATCACCTTGCCACTATTGTTCCCAGGTTTGTAATTGAGATCTATTGGTGTATCTTTTGGATTAGATTTCAACTTCTTTCCGTCCTTGAGAAGATCTAGGACAAAATTCCTTTTATAAGATGAAAATGTCTGTGTGTAATCTAGCTACTTTAATCTCTGTCAAACATTTAAATATAGTCTATAAACGTGTATCAAACATTTGAGTTGACCAGACCGGATTGGACCAGTCAACCCGGGAACCAGAAGGCATTCCGATTTTTCAAACTCCTCGTTTTCATTTCTTGGATAACTGGTGAAACCGATCAGAACCCAGTAGAACCATTGAAAACCACCATGTTTGAATGACCCAACTGGTTTTCCATGACCCATCCGGATCAATAAATGGCTAGAATTTGAACTTTCTCTTTTAACATAAATTTTGATCAAACACGTGTATTTCTAATAAAAATGCAAATTGTAAGACTTGAACTGGTCAATTATACAAAAAAAAAAAAACACCTTAGCCATCTAGCCATCGCCCATACACCTGTTTTTCATTACAATAACTTATATTTATCTTGTATGCAACTCATGGTCAAACTGTTTGACCTGTGACCTGGCAACCATTCCGGATTTGTGTCCGGTCCGAGTCTTAAAACACTGGTTTATTCTAGTAGCGGTGAGTAATCCCACACCCTAGAGTGATTCTAGGCCTTCCATGAGTGATTTAGCTTCTCTCTACTTCTATTCTTTTTTTGATAGACAACAAGACAGATCAAGGGATGATCTCAAATCCAAACCAAAAGATGGACTCCTCTCTACTGTCCCAGCCAAATTGAACTTCCCCATATTTACTTAAAATGGTTGTTCTACACAATGCTTCCCTCTCAAGCCCAAACCTCTAGAGCCATTTCCCAAAAAGAGCATTTTTCATTATTCTAACTCTTTAAGTGGTATATTGGTAAATTTTGTAAAGCACTTTAATTACAGTGACTACCAGTCTACCACCCAATGAGAGATCTTAAATTTTGTAAAGGATGGCACAGTGACAGTACATCTTGAAAGTGTTACAGAGGTTGCTATAACTGCAACTGTAATGAGAAATATTAACAGGCGTGGAAATTATGTTGGGTCGGGACTTGGGGTGTTCCTGTTGGAGACTAGGTTTCACAGAGAAACATTCAAATTGCTTCTCAACCATGGTTTTGAAAACCGGATTGGTTGACCTGGGAACCGGTCATAGTTCTGGCTCCGGTTTTGGACCCCAAAATCATCTAACCGGGCATTGGACCAGATGGTCAGACCATTTGACCCGGGAACCGGTGGCCAAAATGGCTCCATTTCCGGATCGGTTTTTAAAACCATGTTCTCACCTATTCAAGGCTGTATTCTAGTTATTTACCAAGACATATTTGTTAAGTTATTGCCTTTTTACAAACAGGAAAACCTTTCTAGTTTTCTCTCAAACTTTGTTACTGTACATTCTTGTTACACAATTAATGCCTGGAAAAGCCTCTTTAAACCCTAAGACTGATTTTTTGACATTAGTAGAACCAACAAAGAGTGCAGGGGAGGAGATCTTCAATCTCCCGATGCTGTTGAATTTATGCTGTTAACGGGTTTTGGTTGCTGATGGTTAATTAATCATTAGTTGTCATATTTTAAATATGAATATCTTCCAGGCCTTCCAATAATTTTTTTCCCGGTTCTAATTAATGTTTGCTTTATGCTTACTGATGGAATATTTATCAACTGAACCAGTTTGTGAAATAAAATTCCTTATTCAGGTTCCTTATTGGTTGACTTACGATTTTCCACCTGAAGTTAGAGCAAAACTTAACCGTGAGTGGGGATCCGACTGGAAAGGTCAAGCACAGAAGTGGTAAGCTTGCCAACTGACTGATGTTAACTTCTAGTAAAAAGGGCAAGATGAAAATAACAAGATATATAGTGGGCCCTGAAGGCAAGCCTTCACCAGCCAAACAAAGCTATTATTACGAGAGAGAGATCCAGTAAACAATATTTCCATCGACTTATTCCTTGACATTTTATGAATGAAAATTTCCTATTCTTTCCCCTTGGCTGCCTGAATGGAATAATCATCTGATAAGGTGGTATTGTATGATGAAGTTGAATTTTAGTTTATAGAAACTTCAAAACCTTTATTAGAGTCAACTTTATATATTATAATTAATAAGCCCTATAGAATGAGCTTGTATAAACTTCTCAACTACACTTGAGCGTATTTATTAGAATTTGCATCTTTGAATATAGGTTTCTTCTTAGATTCACTGGAAAAGAGGAAGAGATAAATCTTTTGGGTGATGGAACTGAAAAGGCAGAGTTTGGAGAGTGGTCATGGATGACACCAGAACAAGTAATCGAGCATGTGAGTATAACCAATTTCCTTATCGCTTACATATTTTCATAATACTGGGAATTTTATGTCAGCATCTTATGGTCAATATACATTTTAATTTTAATAAGCAGGCTGTGGATTTCAAGAAGCCCGTTTACGAGGGAGTTTTGAAGGTGTTCAGTCCCCATCTTCAGTAGGATTCTGTTGGCCAATTGCAGATGACATGTGGATAATTAGGAATGTTACTTTTTTCACAATTAGTACTTCAAATCTGAGAAAGCTTTTAGAGTTTTCACCCTTGGAGAAGTCACTTTGAGGGTGATTGCCCACTAAACAGAATTCTTTCTTGTATGCTGAAATACAATAAAGATAAAGAATTTAAGACTAAAACCTATATTGCCTAATATGATAAATTCATATCTAATAAATTTCTTAAAACTAATTAAAATAAAAAAAAAAACTAAGGCTGCGTTTGGTTGCAGTGCAATTTTATTTGCATTAGTATAAATGGATGGGAGTGCAAATGAGAAGAATGCAAATTCTGGTTAAATTTTGTTTTGGATTTTACTTTATTCTATTTCAGGTCTTATTTTACTTGGATCAGTGCAAATAAATTCACATTGCAACCAAACACAGCATAAATATTTAATAGAAATTGGAATCATGTCATTCCAACTCCCCTTTAAAGAATTTCTATTAAAACATGAAACCTAAGTGAACTAATAAAGTCGAAACAAAAAACAATCCGACCGAACTGATCAATTAGTTTCAGTTTGGTATTTCTAAAAAAAAATCGAAAGGACTAGTTTGGTCTTCAGTTAACCTGGAAAAAATCAGTGGTTAACCGAACCAATTGGTGTTTATGTGTATAATTTATCTATTTGGTTCATCGAAGGACTAGTTTAATACTTTAATTTGAGGTTTACGCGCATAGTTCGGTAAATCAAACCGTAAGCACCCTTAGTTTGTCGTGCAAATTTCACTTGCATTCCTAGGCTCAGTTTGCAATGTTGATTTTCATAAAAAATTGAAAAACCAAAGTGAACCGAAAAAATCTTTAACCAAACCGATCAGTATATATATATATATATATATAATTTTTATTTATAATATATAACATTATATTTATTATATATTTATAGTATTCGACCAGTTTGATTTGAAAATCTTCCCCATTGTATAAAAGAAAATAGAGATAGGAGGAAGCATGGTTTTCAAAAGCGGACCAGACAGTTGGACCGGAAAAATTGGGAACCGGTCAGGTGACTAGTTTTGTTTTTTCAGAAAACCAGATTTTTTCCAAAAGCCGTTGATTTTGGTCAGCAAACCGTTGACCTGGGTGGTTAACCGTTCGAACGGTTTTGACCATTTTTATTTTCTTTTATTTTTTTGTCAAAATGGGCCGACCGTTTGACCTTGAACTGGACCCCTGACCGGTTTGTTCTTTAGGCCGATTTTAAAAACTATGGGAGGAAGCTTATTTGCTTGTGAGATAGGATGCAACTCAAGCAAGGTGATGTGGTCATCAAAACTCTTTAATAATTGAAATACAAAAATAAGTCCAAACTCAATTTTTGAAAAAATAAAACAAAAAAAAAATTCAAAAAGCACACGGTTCAAAGTCTCAATATACTCTTCTGTGTATCAGGGTATATCAATATTTTGAACCTTGGTAGAAGGTAGTGCAAATTTTACATCAGATTTGAAATGTGAAATTTGCACTGCCTATGAGTACAAATAAGACAAAGTACTAGTACTGTTCGCGGGTTTGGTTGGGTCGGTTTATTAGTGTTTTTTTAACCGACCCGACTTGGTCGGGTTACCTATAAATTAAACTGAAACCAACCCTCTATTAAGTAAAACCGATTTGGTCGGTTTGGGTTTCAACCAACTCTAAGCTTACACAATGCACATGAAGTCAAAGTGCTAATATTATATATAATATTTCAAAATATATTTTTTGGAAATATATATTTAAAACCAAAACATATATACAAATATATCAAAATATATATTTTCTAATTTCTGGAAATATATATTTCGGAAATATATATCTAATATATTTCAGAATATATATTTTTTCACATAATTTGGTTCGGTTTTGGTTTTTACATATAAAAACTGAAACCGAACCGAATTATCAGTTTGTTTATCTTTACAACCCGAAACTGAATGGTAGTAAAGAAAAACTGGCCAACTCGGGTTGGGTCAGGCCGGATTGGTCGATTTGGTCGATTTGATCGATTTGGATTTATTTGTGAACAGCCCTACAAAGTACAAATTTTACATCATGTATGAGTGCAAATCATATTAAGAGACAAGGGTGCAAAACTAAACCTGATGTTTATAAATATATACAGTACAAATACAAATACAAATATATATAGTACAAGACCTTCTATATGATGTTTATAAACTTTCTATTGGCACCTTCCCAAATTAAGCCCAACTTTCAAACTTAATTTGGTATTCCACATTTCCACTAGGTTCCCGATTTATTGTAGTTGAAGCATCCCTTGAATCTGCACTTTATGGTGAACTAAAGCATATCCATAATTAATGTTTTCAAAATCGGATTGGATCAGACAGTGAGACTAGAAAAACCGGGAATCGGTCACCTAACTGGTTCTGTTTCAGGCCAAAACTGCTTTTTGACAAAAACTGTTGATTTGGTTAGCAAACTGCTAACCCTGGTGGTCGAACCGTCGATCTAGACAACAGTTTTTGGTTGTTTTTTTTTTACTTTTTATTATTTTATTATTTTTGTCAAACAAGCCATCCATTTGATTCGAAACTTCCAATGGTTAGATCATTCAACCCAGAAACCAGACCCCATAACGGTTCCCTGTCCAATTCGGTTTCAGAAACCTTGTCAATAACAATAAAGCCCATCTGATCTGAATTTAGGTATCCAAAAACAAATGGCAAAAAGCTCGCTAGGGATCTGCTACCCACACAATGCTCCCAACATTCGACTGCTGTGGCACATTGTGAACATCTCCCTTGTCATTCATGGGAAATGTTCCCAATGTATGACTGTTATGGTTTGTAAGGACATAGTTGGTAGCATTTATTGCTAACAGATCTGGACTCCAAAAATCTATGATGCATGAATTGCACCATAAAACCAAAAAAAAAAAAAAAGTGAACCAGTGATAAAACAACACACCACAGATGACATCTTTAACGTTGTTGAAAGTTTTGAAAGGTCAACAATGAAAATTAAATAGACCATATGACATCTTTAATATGATTAGTTGAAATCTTGACTTAAGGTGTTGCAAATATTCATTATTATAAATAAAAAAAAAGGTTTATCTAGATCCCACTTGCCAAAAAAAAACTATAACCTAAAATTCTAAAAAAAAGTCTAATAGTCAATATAAATTAGATACTAGTGGATTAAACCAATCAATATCCAAATTTGATTTGATTAATAGGATCGCATTTTCAAATCCAACTCGGTTTCAAATTCAAATCGGATTAAATTTAATAAATTCTGCAGCCCTATGTTTTTGGAGCTTTTCTTGGTATTGCCTTCTCATTATTCTCATTTTTTTATTCAAGAACAGACAGCTTCTAAAAACTTTAACAAGGGCCTTTTGCAATTTATCATTATCCTCCCGTAGAGCTACGATCATGTTGAGCAATCTACTTATTTCATGGTTGCAAACATGACCCTAATACCAAATTTTGTGATCTCATAAAAATAAATAAATATAGAGCAATGGGTATAAAAGATAGGGCTGCAAATTGTATCCGTTGTCTGAATTCAAATTCAATTTGTTATAATTCAGTTCTGCAAATGGTATCCCCTTCACAGGGGACAGTTCTAAAATCTAAATCACTTCAAGGATGATTGTTTCCTAAACAGAATTATTTCTTCTCTAACCCTAAGTTGCTTGATATGATTAGATTCATATTCTAATAAATTTCCAATTTTTTTAATTAAAATAATTAACATAGAAACCAAATATAGGAATGCATCACAAACACTTACACCAGAACTTATAATTTGACCTTTCAACCTGATGTTTATTATTGAAATGGGACATCAACCATTCATCAAAATGGTTATATTGATGGAGGATCCATGTTCTGCATTTTTTTTCCTTTTTTCTTTTTTTTTTGAGAAAAATTAGCCAGATTTCATCAGATAAAAGAGAAGTACATGAGGAGATGTACAACACAGAGGGGAAGCCCCAAAAACTTAAGCAGAAGCCTATCACCATACAAAACCTCCAAAAGAACACCAAATTTAGCTAAGCCATCTGCAATAGGACTTAGCTCCCTCGGAATCCAGATCAGGTTTGCATTTAAATAGTCCAGAGAATCCCTAGCCTCTGCCAAGTAATGACTCAATCTCCATTGTCCACCCTCCTTGTCCATTAGCCAATTTATGGTATTTGCTGAATCGCCTGCAACAGTTAAATTCTGAACATCTAAGTTTTTCACTATTCTAATTCCTGTGAGAGCAGCCATCACTTTGGCATTAGTAGAGTCAGCAAAGCCTATTTGACCACCGTAAACCCAAAAGATGTTGCCCCTTCATCCCTTATAGTGCCTCCAATGCCAGCTAAACCAGGATTGCCTGAAGCGCTTCCATCAAAGACGGTTTGAGAAGAGTGTGGGAGGAACAGAAGAGTATAAGCACTTCTGCTAATTTCATTAACTGAGAAACCTTTGAACAAATCCGCATTAACAGCCCAAAGATTACAAAGGTAAGTAATATCATAGATGAATTCTTCAAGGGATCTGGTCTCATTGTCAAAAAGGCGCTTATTTCTTTCCTCCAAACTCCCCACGTTATTGCATGTACCATTTGCCAGTAAACTTTACCTCTTTTACTTAAGCCTCTTCCTTGCCACTATTATAAGAAGTCCAGAATATGCTCTGGAACAACCCAACTGTACTGTAACCAGCCAAACTGAGGAAGTGGTGCCAGAACATTGCAGTACATTCTGCAATAATTGCATGGAAAATCCTCATAAAGAATCAAAGAACTACTATAGCATTCAGAAAATCATCAGCTCCAAGTACCATTCTTGTAGACCAAGAAAGACCCAGTTCCACTATAAGCGGATGCTAATGCCTTTCCAGTGGACGTTGGCTGAAAAAATGCCAAGTGAGATGGATCCAGGACAAATCCCATACAGAAACTCTTCCTACATAAAAGAAAATACAACTGTGACTAAGTAAACATGAAGGAGGGGAATGCAGGTCTAAGAATAACTTCCAAAAATCCATACAAATGGATACCCACATAGAATTCTTGAGGAAAAATAAATATTTGGTCTTCAGCCCAAAATAGTGAAGAATTAACTATTCAGAAAATATTT